AGGCAGGCAAGCAATATTCTTATTTCAGACAGGCAAATCGATACCTCCTTCCATAGCAATCTGAATATTCGAAATGGTCGTCAAATGCTCGAGCTGCTTTACTTTTGCCCATTTTTCGGAAGAACAGCAACATCGCGTTTTCAGTATTTCGTATAGAATTTTTAAGATATACAGTCGTAATTGACAGCTCATAGTATGACCCAACCAGTTTTTAAAAGGCAATACTTTGTCACTTCTCTGGATTTACATAATGCAGTCGCATTCTCCCCTTGTATATGCCAGCCAAGGAGATTCTTTACACAGGTATCGCCTCTGCTGTATAATTACACTTACAGTGCATTTACGGATTCTTGAATAACGTGTTAAATATAGCGATGATTTAATGGAATGGCCAAGGCCTGCTCGGCTTTGAAGTTGAAAAGTTACTCTTATTTTAAATCGTTCAATTTGAAGCCTAAATATAGCTTGTAGCTAGCTAGCTACTGTAGTTAATTTCAGATGTTTCAATAAATTTTACTGTTTGCACATCTTTAGATCTTTGATTAAGTACATGTTGTTTGCTTTCAGTTTCAGTTCTAACCGAATCCTTGTTAACGTTTTAAATGTGTACCTATTTTTAAGAGATCTTGTGCATCGCCAAATTGCTATGGACGCCGTCGCCCACATGGCACTAGGAGTTTGTGGCTTCAGTTGCGAGGATGCCCTAATTCATTTGTTGAACTACGTGTGGCCGAATGTTTTCGAAACGTCACCGCACGTTATCCAGAGATTCATTTTTGCCTGTGAAGGAATGCGCGTTTCTCTTGGTCCATGTAGAGTAATGCAGTACTGCCTTCAGGTAATTATTTATAACATCACCAACGGCTTAATCGATTTAATTTTTCGGTTTTTAGGGTTTGTTTCATCCTGCCAGAAAAGTCAGAGACCCGTACTGGAAAGTGTATAACAATCTTTACATCGGAAATCAAGATGCGTTAGTCGCTTTTTATCCTCGAGTGCTGAATGACGAACGGAACACTTATGTTCGTTATGAACTGGATTATTTGATTTAAGCTATTTTCCTTACCTCATTGTTTTTGTAAGTTTTTTGTACGCATAAACATTTTGAAATTATTGGCCATTTCTGAATGTGTTGTTTTTCTGCCATATTTTCAGCATACTTTCATCGTTCCTGACGGTCAGCAGTGCCAACAGTTTATTACGTTATACAGCATAACTGAAAATCAGCTGATCTGTTACTTATTCTACAATGACCTTTCGCTGTCTGTCGAAACTGCAGGAAACATTTGGGTATCTGATAAGGCGGCTGGGCCGTATTTTGATTTAGCTCTTTCCAGAAACGCGCCGACCATTCGTCGGACCACCTCGTCGAAGAATATACTAGCTACGGAGGTGAATAATGTGGAACGAAACTGGAATGAAACCTGAAAAATGCTACAGAATTATGTGCATGATTTCTTTTTTCACCTACCGTAAAGGTTAATCGGCATGTTTGTTTCATATCGGGAAGGCCTGTGCTAATTTTCCACTCTGAGAACAACTCTTTAAACAGTTCATCGTTATTTACACATTCTGACTAAAACAACATGCCAAGGACTGTCTGGTCATTGTCCGTACAATACTGCTTACCTTAACTTGCGTAGGCCTGTTCAACGTAACCAAAGAACTGTAGGAAGCCTCCAGTGGCGGAAACCCGACGGATAGACGAACAATTTTGAGATTATCCTTCAAGTTCTTCACTATTTCTGAGCGCGTGCACCATGGAACGAATTCCGGGTAGCTTTTAACATCCGACACTAAGTCGTACATCTGGTGCATCGAATAGCTATAGACAAGACAGAGTTATGCATGTAGATCCAACGAATGCTAGCAAACATCAAACTTAAATCATGGTAAAATAACGTATTAAGTAAAAGCGATAGGTGAGATTCGCTGTGCTGGAGATTTTAGGCTGATTTACACTCACGGTGGATAAAAGCTCTAAACTATTAGTGTAATCACATTCGAACAAATAAAGTTTACTTGAGGAATCGAGCTTGTACAAGTCATAACGCTAAATTTGTTTGCAGACGAGCGTAACTTCTTAATACATGAATCATCGTTTGAAGCCTGATATCAGAACATAACTAAAACTGAGTACTGACTGCACAACAGGATGAAGGTATAACTGATATTCATCATATAAATGACCTTGCAGAAGAACTGTCAAAAGAACCATAGTGCAATATAAGTAACCATTGTATTTCTTGGCAGTGGTATGGACCATTGTTTACTTTCAAAGTGCAATAGCCTCAGATTTCACCTGGGCAATCATACGGATAATAATTATACAATACAAATATATAAGGCTGATTAATAGGCAATAAAATGATAACGCATTATTTCCTCTTCCAGACTTCATGATGTGCAGCGTCCCTTCCTTAAATATGCCTAGGAGCTATTTAAATAGTTCTGGCTCGAATAATGCAAAACTCCTTCGGAACCAAGTCTTACGGCCCTCTGCATTGTCGCCTAGCTACTAATTGCCTAGAGCGCACCAGAGCAGGCTACGATTCAATGGTCCTTGAACATCTGCAGTACCGAGTGCATCTTGCATAATTTTTTCCCCGATTGAGCGAACTGGCGCTCATTATTATATTGCAGGAACTGGTACCCAACCGATAAGTACTTAACTTCTATAAGACGCTATCGAATAAACATCAAAAGATGTTCTAGGCTTAGTTCCATGCTATTTTAAAATTCACAATGGGGGACGTATCCTAGAATTTTACTGGCTAAATATATGCCACAATACGGTTCGACGGACTCTTGAACGTAAAGTAAAATATAAACCATGCGTTACGTTTATACATGATACTGAACATAGTTTCAATAGATTTTTAAAACTGAACAAAAAATACTCTCAGAATAAATAACAAATTGCAATGCGTCAGCCATGTATCTCATATATAGTTCAAAGCAGCAATTAATATGAAAGAAATTTTTAAATAGTTATTAATCTTACGCCATTTCAATTTCTGAGGATGTCCCAGCGCAATGCGTTACATAACTTCATAAAATTTTACACATTTATACACCTCCCTTGGAAAGCATTGTCTTAATCAGAGTACTCTTCAGAGATGCGCTCGCTAGTGCGAGAGATCAGCATTGTATCCAACGTTCAGCTGAGACAAATTTTAAGTTTGCGTCCACTACGCTATACGGCAGGTAGCTCTGCCTGCAGATGCTACTGCGGCAAAACGCACCTGCATTAATAAATCAACTTTTGCCAAGTGAACAAAGACAGCAGCAGCAGTTGTTTTGTTGTCATCCTTATGAAAGGTTAACGTAGCTTAAATAGTAGAATAATCCAAGCTTATGATCGTTGACCGTTAGAAATTTTTAGAAGGATAGGCGGTTGCATAAACGAAACGAATTCGTTATAAACTTATTCTAATAACTTTTATTTAGCAATATACATTACCAAATTGATACTTTGAGGAGTGCTTTAATTCTCACTTCGATCTTGTTTTACGTTTGTATATCTGGCAACGGATATTGGCAAGTTTGTCGGTGCCCAAACATGTTGTTGTTGGGCCCGACTCAGCGACGTTATGAACTGCAGAACGTTTAAATACAGTGTAGCCTTGGTCTGTTGAAATAATCTCCTAAGGCGAAAAGGAGTGAGGGAACTGTGCAATATTGCAGTACAACTCGTTTACCGACTACCACTACTCCTACACCACCGCGATAAGCAAAACTTTACTTTACAGTTTTTTCGCAAGTAAATCAGGTATCAGTATTTAACAAATAAAATTCTGATTATAACGAAACATCTGATTAACCACGTTAACCTCCATATATTTCTGAGGATTTACTAAAGTAGATAAAGCCACTGACTCCTAAAACAATGGTAAAGGGCAATGCCTAAGTCTAGTAAGTAAAATGACGCAATGGTAGTAGTGTAACAACTCGCTATTTGATATTGCACTTGCACATGTGGAATCGAAATGCTTCAACAACAGTGAAAGATGACGATAATGCTTATTTTACTTTAGTATTGCACGTGATTTTGCTTCATACCCGAGCAGCCGTGTTTCTGAATACTGCATCCTCTTAGGGCCGAAATTCAGACTGTCAGGTAGAGTGATCATCCGTCGCAAAAATAACTTCGTAACGATCGATGGAGACCCTGCACCGGTCAGCTTGCATAACGATTTCATACAAACACTCATCGTTCTACTTCAAGCCAAATTTTACATTTCTAAAAGATCACCAATAAACGCAATGACGTTGATAAACTGCGAAGAAACTAAAGATGTTTTACTGAATAGCACAGTGACAAACAGTTTGGCTTTGAACCCGTTCAAATGATAATCTTTCTCACAGCAATGAATTGCGTTGGGCAAGGCAGTAATGCCACGTTTTTTTCTCGTGAAACTAGCTGAGAAACGAACAGTAAGTCGGTGACTTGTGAATACAGCGGACAGCACGGCATTCTGGTCTGGTCATACCACAGTGGACGAGTTGTATGACCATGCTGTACGATGCGAGCACGCCTTGTGGCTGCACTTCGCCTTGACCCACTTGATGGCTGACTATCCGACGTAATAATCAGCACAAGATGTAACCACGATTTTTTTTCTACTTTCAGTATCAACCTAGGAAGGAAGAATGGCGAATGATCCCGACCGATGATCGAACCCAGCACCTTACAATTTTGATTAAAACGCTTTATGATTGAAAAACCCATGTGTGAAGCAACATGTAATAAATTCGTAGTGGAGACAAAGATTATTCACCGTTATCGTAACCCGCACCTCCGCAGTTGGAATCAAACCTTTTAGGCCCTGTGTCACAATGTCGAAAAATTGTACGAGGAACAGGTTCTCGACGGCAGGCTTGCGTACGACAAAATGCATGACAATGCTATCCAGGTATGTGATGTGCTTAACATTTTCTTCAAACAGGCACTTAATGCTATTGGCAGTGTTGGCGAGATGAAGAACATGAATCTTTGAACGAAAGAATTTTAAAAGTAACAGTAAATGATAAGTTTGTAACCGTTCGAATGTCGGTTTTCCATACACTTTCATCATGAGGCCAGTTCTGGCGCCATTTCCACTAAGATGATGGTACGGGGCTTATCTCTGTTTCAATGCCATCAGTCAGAGATGCTTTATTTCACAGGCAAAGTCTATAGTCATGTGAGAAGTGTAATGTGTACTCTCCTGTTTCTTTGCTCAGAGTGGTACTCATTTATCAACCTTGGAATTAAAAAGGGCGAGTGACTCCGACCGGAGCGCCAATCAGGGACGTCACAATTATGAATCTGACACTTCCAACTAAGCCACTCCTGCCTGAAGCAACTTTTAGCAAACTCTTGGTCAAGGGAATTCGTGCACAAGACAAAGACTGCACTCGAGCAGAATCGAATTTTGCATTCTCGTATTTCGAAGATTACCTCTTATGCTTTCTGTCACTACCAATGAATTCTACTGCTCGACCATATGGAACATGCCGTGTCTTTCAGTAGCTTTTCTTCACCACTGTTCAGGTATGTAATTTGTGTAAAATTTCTGCACAAAGCTGAAGACAAAAACCGCAGATTATCTCAAACATCATAAATGGGCTTACAGTCAAAGATAGGGGTTATGCAAACGAGGAAAATACCTCAAAATTATGAAACCGACAATAATGCATTTAATCACTATATGCTGATTGTAGGTGTTGCATCAGAGTAAACTGCGTTGAGTCAAAACCATGCAAATAATCGGAGAAGCACTGGAACAGGTGGACAAGGTTCACATGCCTTGGGATCATGCCTGCTGAAGATACAAAGTCGGAGGAAGAGATCGATCTCAAACTGGAATGACCAACGGTGTTCTGAGCAAAGTTACCTAAACCGATGTGATTAAAGCAGAGTCGTATCTGAAAACTAAGCCCCTTAATTTGATCTTCACCCAGATATTTATCTGTGGTTATGAGTCGTGGGCCATGATTGAAAAAGTTCGATCCTGCGTACAAGTGGTTAAAATGGGCTTTCTGAGACGAACTGCTGGGCT